TAGCAGACATTATATTGAGCATAAGTTACTAAACTGGACAGTTTTCCAAGTGTCTGCTTCGGTCATTGACTAATGCCGATACTGCACAAGAAATTGGGCCCCTGTTTTTAAAATTAGAGAACTGCAAATAATCATTGGAACATATGGATAAAGGAGGAACTTCTGCTGATGCCAGGGGAATAAACTTAGTTCTTCCCAATCTGAGATTTCATTACCCTTGTTTTATGCTGCATTAACTGGTATGAGCCATGAAATTACTCATTCCTTTTAAAAGCCTGAGCGTTTTGGTTTGATGTCCTTCAGTTGTAGTGAATTCTGTATATTTATGCTTGAATGAAGTTTCCTTTATTTGTTTAAAGTCTAATGGGCAGTCATCTCTTGATCTTCTGTAACATGGCCAAGGGGAAATAAGAATGTTAATCCCTCCTCTTTATGAATTGATCCAAATAGTTAACTCTTTGGATAGGTGTTAAGCATAATAAAAAAGTTTACCCTTAGCAGGAATTCAGTTCTCCTTTCCCTGCTTAGAGTTTGTTTGGAAGAGTTGTTTTCAAAGTATCAACAAACATTTTCAGTGAACATCTTTATGATTACTTTGGACCAGAAAACTTCAGATGAAGTAATGTGTACCAGTTTTACTACAGACATCAGAGCTATTTTTTTTTCCTATTCTGAAGAACTGCAACTACTGTAGTATTGTTGCATGAGAATCCTAGCTGGTGGAGGAGATCCAGGTTGTGGCCTACAATAGTCACCCTGTTCATTCTGTGCTAGTACATTTTTTTTTCCCAGAGGAGAAAAGAGCGGGAAATTTAATGCTGTTCTTTGGTATTACAAATATCTTTGCAAGCCACAACAGTTAGGCTGTGCTCAGTTAAGTGTCTTGTTTCTAGTTTTGCTGTTACTGCCTTCCTTACCGTTTTTAGTTGAATTTTCACAAGGGCTTGATTAAGTAGCTTATGTGTCACTTGGTATTCAGTTGGCCCCTTTCAGTCCCTTTTTAAGTTGATCAGCCAAATTTATGATGTTAGCAATAATCTCTGATGTACTAGAATAAGCCTGGGCCCTTGATCTTTCAGACTGCTCGGCTTTTGATGCCATGTCTTTGAAGGGGTGTTGATACTTCATAAATCTCAGCAGAACTGCACTGGGGTGGTTTCAGCCTTCAATCTCTCGCCCTTCACTCCAAAAGCACTCAGAGGAGCTGAGTGCAGTCCCATTTGCTGATGGTTTCTCTCAGAAGAAAAGCAAGGGTTTACTTGCATGCTCAAATTGTATATGTGAGGTGTACCCAAAGGGAAACAAGATGCTCTGCGCTGGAATAATCAGTGTTCCACTGCATCTTTTATCAGAGTTGGAAGCCATGGCGGTCTGATACCATCTGCACACCAAATGTGCTGGTTCTTGACATTCTCCATGAGTGGTCAAAAAGGGAACAAATCCTCCCTTGATCACGGGGCTAAAGCATTCATTGAGATAAAGACTCACAAAAATTGCTGCTTTGTCCTATATTCTCTGTAGGATTTCTTTGATCTGTGCCAATTACAACTATTTTGGTAGTAGTTCATGCCACTTAGTGTCTAACATCAGTTATTGCCCGAATCTAATTTATTTAATTGAATGCATCAGAAAAAAATTTGAGGTTTTCTGGCAGTGGATATTTATAAGAGTGCATTGGTCACGATCCTTGTCCATCTCTTTTCCTAAAAGAAGGCATAATTTCCATACATACGAAATGCATTCACTGTGCTGGAAAAGTAAAAAACTCCTGTGGTGTTAGTACTAATAATTTCCAAAGCCTGTCAGTCACATCAATGAAAGAATGTAAGTACACTGATAGCAATGCAAATTGTAAGGCCTATTTCTTAGGGTGAACCCTCATAGTCTGGGATAGTACCATCTCCTCTTATCAGTTGACATGTATTTTTAGTCAACTTGAAGGCTATCCAGTGGACCGTTAGTTTAAGCTGGATCAAGAAATGAAGACTGACCTACTTCTCTAGGTAATGATTAGTTCAGCACTGTAGATCCAATAAGGAATAAACTTCTTTCATATTGTGGAGCCTTCCTTCATTTTCCTGCAGAACAATATTTAAGGAGCACTTAAAATTGAATAGGTCATGCTTTGGGTACAAATTACAGCTCAACATACTGGTCCTTTAATTCCCTGGGCTTCTAACTTTTTAAAGATGTAATAGCAGGTTTTAATTTTTTTTTTTATTTTGTTTTTAGGTTTATTGTGTGGCATTAAATGATTTTGTCTTCTACTTTTTCACTGTTCTGTTTTCTCTTGTTTTTGTATTTCATTACTATTTCACCACTTATATTAAAGCTGATCCTAATTATAGACAAAGGCTGAAGTGGAGTAGGTGTTGGCACGTGGATGCTGAAGGGGATTGCTGGAACAGGCCGTGTAAGGCTGCTGGAGAGGCAGCTGCAGTGGTCAGTGTTTCTGAACATTGCAGGAGGACTGCTGGGGTGAACGCAGAACCAGATTTGCTCAGTTTTAATCATGAATCACTCTTCAGTTTCTCAAACTCAGTTCTCGTCTCCCATCTACAAAATATTCATCAGAACTGGAGATGACTATTGCAAGGAAGTTTTCTCAGCTTTTTGGTTTGGTGTTTACTTTAGGGTCTCTTTTTTTTTTTTAAACCTCACTGAGGTTAGACTGACTTGTCTGTGAGCTTTCTAGAATCTGCTCTTTATTATGCAGAGTAGTGAACATTTTTATTTAGTTAATATTTGTTACCACATTAGAGCTCAATTCTAGTTCAACCTCCTCTCTCCTCTTTTCTTTAGAAAGTGCAAAAAAGGCACACAGACCCGGTGTGTTTGCATTTCTGAGATGCCAAAATGGCAACGTATTCTCAGTCCCCTTTGCACTAGGCCAGAGACTTGGGTAGAATTTCCCTGCCAAATGTAATAAAGGTCGATATTCCTTGTTCTGTGGATGTTTATTGAGGAGAAGGAGAGAGAGAAAGGTCAGATTCAGATTTTTGATGGAAACTTGGCTGAACTCTTTACACTGAAAAGATTTTATTTATAGTTTAGCCTGTATGTTGAGGACTATTTTTCACAGTCACAAACTGTGTTTTTGGTAGAAACCTTGTACTATGTAGGAGCCAATGTACAATATGATGTACAGTAGGCAATAATTTGTTGAAGCAACTCATGTGACCTCAGTGTTCTGTGCCAGCGTGTCTCATTGTTGACACGCTGATATAAGAAAGTAAAAACAGTTCTCTGATTCACCTCCTTTTGCTTAAATGTGTCTCTACACTTACAAGCTTTTCGGTTAAGCAGTGATAGAGGTTCCAGATGGGATGGGGTTTTGGCACTCCAGAGACCAGTTTATTGCTAAGTAATGCAGGATGTTCATTCTCTGATGTGCAGTATTTGGCTGATGTTGACCATGACCAGTTCCCTCTCTTTATCTCTCTATCTATATCTCTGCATGTGTATGTATAATAATTGGCTTGCAAGCAGTGCTTTAAATTAGAGTTGGGCTGAGGAAATCAAAAGCTGTAGAAACCCAGGTTTGTGGTGGGTTTTGCAGAGCCTCTACAGTTCTGAGGTGGGCTTTCATCAGCTGTAATGAATATCTTGCCTAGCAGCTTGTGACCATAGTTCCTTGCTTTAAATTGGGATTTGGGTTTGACTAAGGTAATCTAAACCTGCAAGAGCCAAGTGTCGTAATGGACTGTGCAGTTCTTGGACTTGTTTGGAAAAGGACCAAAGCTTTTGGCTTTTTTTTCCCTGCATACAGTTAATATTAGTGCTTGGATTAGGGTTTGGGAATAAAGGACCTGAAGAGTGCAGGAGAAGGTAGAGGGGCTGTTTGGGTTATTTTTGTTTGCTCAATGGGTGCTACAGAAGCCACAAAGTTAGGAACAGGGCTGATGCCAGTGTTAGTTCATGCCCTCTGGTCTCATTTAGTGCAGAGGTGAGCAATCTCAAGGTTAAGGTTTGGGTTACTTTGACATCTACAATTAGGGTCTGAGCATCTAAAACTGTGAGCGTGCAGCTTACTGCCAGATCCGGCAATCTGAAGAGCTAGGAGGAGGCTCATGTAGAAAGTGCCTAGTTACAGCAGCGTTTTTCTTCTTGGTGGTAGCCATCTTGGTGTAGGCTGTTTTTAACCTCAAGCCACTGTGTGGTAAAATAATAAATAGGTGTAATTTTGGAATCTGGAATTCTGACCTGTCTTAACTGCAAAGACAAAATGAATGATAGGACTTCAGCTGAGTTGTGAGAGACTCTAGAGGTGTAAGAAGTTCCTTATTTGCCATGTTCTGTCCAAATTGCAAGTATTTTTCTTGATATTTTGCTATTTCAACAGAAACACACTAAGGATTTTGTGGTGATGGCAGGTGCTGACAAAAATCGGTATCCTACTGAGAATGCTTTGAATCTAAGGTTACAGATAGAAAGAAACAGTAAATTGATCACTTATGCTCTCCACGATTCACATAAATTTCAGATAATAAATACTTCCTCCCAAAGCAGACTTGTGCTCTGACAGTATCATAGAGCAAAACTTCTGGCAGCTGTTGTAAATATAATGTGGGAAGGTGCTGTATGTGTTTGCTGTGTTTCACAATGTGAACTTGGCTAGCCAGCTTTAGCCAGAAGAAGTAGGTACTATGATTTTCAGGAGGGGCAAAATGTCACTTAATTTTGTACAGCCACAGGACTAATTGTGTCTGTCAGATACTGCTTCTTTGCTCATCTTGAAGAAAAACAGTAAAAGTAGATGAAATTTCATTAGAAGAATTCCAATCAATGACTGGATGATAAACAGTTGTCTAAGAAGTTAGAAAACCTTGTTTTTCTTTAACCTACCCTTCTTTCTTCCTAAAAGCAGTATGCAAGGAGCTATACCTCATAAGTGTGGGCTAAGAACTAGCTAAAACATAGTCAGATGTATTGAGAAGAACACGCTTATTTGTGTAATACTGGTGTATTAATGCTTTTTAAATGGGACTCTTTGTTTCCAGGCCTTTTTGCAAATGTGCAATCTGCCAATCCGGGTGGTTTGCAGGGCAAATGCTGAGTACATGTCCCCATCTGGTAAGTATGGCCTTCATTTAGATTACTACGTTATGCCTCCATTTTGATACCATGGCAACTGTGCCTTGTCTTGCTGATAACAGTCGGTCAGTGCTACTGTGCATGCGTTGCCTTCCCCCCTCCTCTCCAGTGCAGTTTCTCCTCTGTAAACAATTAAAACAGTCAGACGCAAAGTAATATTGGCACAATGTGTAACTGCGCCTCTAACTGCAGTACCTATATATAGCATTCAGACTGTTCAAATATTTGGTGGAAGCCTTCTCTAAGATGCCTAAGAGTTGTTGTGTTCTGAAGCAGAAAGACTTATGTTTCCAAGAGTGGCTTTATTCTGCATCCAGGGAATATTCCAGTGAATGCTGTTATATTTTGCCATTGCTGTGGTGAGACAACACTGGAGGAGTATCTTTTGTTACCCTGTCTGGAAGATGATTGCCAGGATGTTGATACAGGAGAATATCGAAGGGTGCATTGTCACTGTTAAGGGTGGCAGGTGATTTTAAATCTTCCTCTGATCCGTGAGACTGTCTGGAAAAAAACCCGAGCCCACCAACAATAAATTAAGTATTACAAGGGTACAGAGTCTGCCTTCCGCTGGAGGTGACTGGTTGCCTAAAAACCTCCAGAGGCCGGCTCCAGAGGTTACCTAAAAATCAGAGAATTGCTGAATGCAGCGCGCAAAAGTCTGGTAATCCTCGCGCTCCTTATCAGATTTCTGTTGCGTGCCAACTGTATGGATTCTGCTGTGCTACTGATATTCCAGTCAAAGCAACTGGAATTATGCTATTTAAAAAAACCAAAAAACAAACAAACAAAAAACCCCAGTTGCTGGGCAGCAGTGAAAACACAGCAAAATACGGAGGTATGTAAATTATTTGTTACTAAGTAAAGGTAGTTCTGAAATGCTGAATCCATGCACAGAGGAGTGTCTTGTGTGCACAGGAGTAGGACTGGTAACAGTTGCATACTCTCTCTTCTCTGCCACCTCCACCCCATGTCCACACTTGCTGGCATCTGATGTTATAGTCTGGATCTGAACCCTTTCTTCCTTCTGCTGAAAACAAGGAGCACAAGAGGGAAAATGATACTGCTTCAATTTTAAATGTAGGTAGAAATACATGTGTTCTTTTTGCCCTTACTCCTGGAGTCCTTGTTGTTTTTATTTACTTTCCCCATTTCCTTTCTGTATAATATTTTGATTGTTTAATGATAATTCAGAGAAGGTTTTCATTTGCTCCCTTCTCCCTCCCCACCTCCCCCTGTCTCACAGCAGCAGCAGAGAGAGATCTGCATCTCATCTTTTTGGGGGAATGGTTATTTATCTCATAGTCATTGTAATGATGAAACCCATTCTGAGGGAGTCAAAAGCGGAATGCCAAAGGATTGTCTTGGTGTGTGAAGTACACAGTCTGACTGAAACCACTGAATTCTGCAGCTCAGAAAGGTCTGCGTTTTCCTTCTGCAACATGCAATGTGTGGATGCAGATGAAGCCTTTGTTGGTGTGATACACTTCATTTATTACCCTTAGGCTGATCGAGCCAGTGAGAAGTGAATTTCATGATAAAAACCATGACTGAATCTGCTGTTAGCATGAACTGTTTTTGTGTTTCAGTGACAAGAGTGAATGTATTGCTAATAAGATATTTGGAGTCAGGCAGGTACTGATCTTGCTCTGTCTATCGAGAGCAGAGTTTGCCCACAGCAAGAGGTGGGAATATAAGAGTGTGCTGTGCCCCACTGCACTGGGCAGGCTTGTTTACTGCCTTTGGGCATGAGGGTGTTATCAATAATACAAAACATCCAGCATTTATCTCCATTTATGGACGATTTCAATCATGTAAGTAATCCTAAAAGATTTAGTCTTAAATTTAAGGTTGATGTTTGTCAATTGCATTTGGATGAAGATTTTCAGAATGACCAATGCGATTAGGGTGGATTGGAGCAGGAGCCCTCAGCTTCACATGTTGAGAGCTAGGAAAAATGGGCATCAGGCAACTTCTGTCATTCGTTGTGGCTTGCTGTGTGTAACAGGGCTACCTCTTGTATCTCTGCCTGCCTTAAAGCTTTGGCTCAGTTCGGCGTGTAAGAAAAGTTACCAAGCAGAGAAGGTGGTGTGTACAGACTCGGGAGCCCTTCACAGCCCCGCAGGTTCCCCCAGTGACACAGTCATTTCCCAGTCTCCTTTTGAGGACCGGTCATTTTTAGCCCTACTCCATGCTGGACCCTCAGGGCTCAGCTTCATAGACTGAATGTTGAGCCTTACTAGTATTAAGCTTTAACTCTGTTTTGATTCCGTGATGATGAAGCTCCTTCCCCCTCACAGCCCCCCAGATCATGAAGCTGTGGGTCTCATACTGAGAACCTGTTCCTGGCCCCAGGACCACGAGGGCTTGAAAATGTCGGCTCACAACTAGAGGGTGAAGATTGGGGCAGCCAAAAGGAGCCGGCTGGCCCAGTCGTTGGAAATCTGAAGGAGCGGAGGAGGGAGAGTCAAGACCCTGCCTTGCTGAGTGTGCGTTTGCACTTCCCCCTGCTTGCTCTTCTGGGCACAGTGCCACATCTCCCGTCATCCTTTCAGCAGCCCTTTCCCTGCCAGTGGGTTAGAAGGGAGGGTGGGAACGCGTGGTGTCGTAAAACTAGCCAAGGGCTCTGTCTGCTTTCCTGGGATTTCCCAGCTGTGCTTCAGAGAAGCACTGAATTAAGTCTTTCCAGCAAAGCAAAATCCATTATTAAAATACAAGTTGATAGATCTCATTCAATAACTTCGAAATACACAATTGCAAGTATTGCGTGTAGAAGAGGTTCAGGGGGCGAAAGATCAGGAGGAAGATATTTGTTAGTACAAATGTTTGGTGGATGAGCTATGTGTGTTAGAGCTTTACCTGGGCTCATTTGAAAAAAACCACTGATGTTCAGGTGTACCTGCAATATTTAATTGCTTTGAAAATTGGAAATGATGTTTTACATGCATAAAAACCTCTTACTAAAATATATTTCTCATTTTACAGGCAAAGTACCCTTTATTCATGTGGGAAATCAAGTAGTATCTGAACTTGGGCCCATAGTCCAGTTTGTAAAAGCCAAGGTAATAATAGTACGTTGTTTTTGTCAGTTAGCGAATAGCACATTAATCCTGCTTAGCATTGTGCTGATTTGGTGTGCTCTTCTGGAATGTTACTTAATTTGTTAAAACAGTGTAGAAATCTAGTGCCATTTTAAAAGAAAGATATCCTGGAATAGGAGTTTGTTGAGGTGGAAACATTTCTCTTTGACATTTACTCAAATTCTGGGAGTAAATTTCTATGTGGGATAGCTGCATACCAGTGCCAGTTTCTGAGACTGTTTTTCTACCTGCCCTGTCTCTGGGTCTCAGAGCTCTTAAACCCAGAACTGGCTGGTTTAAATCTTAAAGTGTCAGATACTACCTTTGCTTCCTAACCCCTGCCCCATATTTTTAAAAACATTGTCTTTTCACTGAGCAGTTGATAAAGCTGTATCACAGATCTAAATTTGTGTTTAATTCTTGCCACAGAGACAACAGTAACCAGGAGGCTGTGTGCTCAAACAGTGATAATAGTCTACATTTCTTCTGGATTAGCTATATTACATAATGATGATTTCTTTTTAATTCCAAAGGACACTGTGTAAAAATTGCATATGTAATTTTTTACTGAACTAGGTAAGAGATCAGGATCTGAGCCAGAGCTCATTGATTTTAGAGGTCCTTGTGTCAGGCATTGCTGAATATTCCAATATCCTTTCTTACATGTGTGTCTTTTTTTTCTTTTTCTTTTCCCCATTAGGGCCATTCTCTCAGTGATGGGTTGGATGAAGTCCAAAAAGCTGAGATGAAAGCCTACATGGAATTAGTCAATAATATGCTCTTGACAGCAGAGGTACAGCGAACCATAGTAACTCTGCATACTTACATAAGTGACTATAGGCAAGAAAGCTTTAGGATTTTTCCCTGTATTGGAAATACCGCTTGTTCTTAGATTAGGTCATCAACTTTGAGGTGAAAGGAGGCAGGAATAAATTCTCTGTACCCTATGGATTGCTTGCTGAAATGTTCCTGTAGACACAAGCCACACGTATGATTCCCTTGACCTACCTGCCGTGTGTCACATAGCTGTAGAAGTAACCGATTTCCGCAGATGGAAAATGCTGGTGGCTCCTGTATTCTACCCCACCCTACAGCTAGTCGGGCACCCCGCTGTCACCTTCCACAGTGTGCATGCTCACACGCCTAGTGGGAAGCTGGGATCCCCTGTGGTTTGCATCTGTGGCCAGTTAATGTGGCACAATCCCAGCGTAGGAACAGTGTTGGAAATGCTGGGCAGGCTGCAGGTGGCCGAGGGCTGGTAACCTGTGCGCCGAGTCGTGTGCGGTGTGGGCAGCGGGAGTGGGCCTTTGGTCTCAGCTTGGTCCTGGTGCTGTCGAAGTAAGGACTAGCAACTGGGCTTTTGCTTTCCAGTTTTAATTTCTTCTCTACATTCAGAGGTCTAACAGAAGGAATGAAATGGAAATTTAATCTCATACAGAAAAGAAAATTCTACTAGTGAGAAATGATTGTCTCTGTATTCTCCTTTATTAGGAAGTTTTAGTAAGTGTTCTTTCTGTTCCTAGCTCTACCTCCAATGGTGTGATGATGTTACAGTAGAGGAGGTGAGTGGTTCTGCAGCATTTATCTTAATTAAAATTTAATGACAAAACACTTTTGCTCACAATTGCAAGTCCCTACTCATAAATGAAACATTGAGGTTTATACCATTAATGATACAGTCTTTTTGCTTTAATTTCGCTTGCATATACGTTTTAGGGAAGTTGTGTCATACTGGAGGTAGCTGACTGTAAAATAGATATGGGTTTTGTATATGTTTCTGAAGTAAGAGTTTTAAATGGTTATGCTGCAAACTGTAAGTTCTGCGCAAATAATTACAGCATATCACGCAACTTGCTTTCTCTTTTACAGCTCCCTTTCTGATAGAAATATGTGAATATTAGCTATTTTGTGTGTAGAGGTATCTGTATTTTCTTATAACACAGTACCTTTCTGTTTTTAAACAAAGATTACTCACCCGAGGTATGGCTCCCCTTACCCATGGCCTCTTAACCGCATTTTGTCCTATCAGAAGCAATGGGAGGTAAGGCGAAAGATGAAAGCCATTGGATGGGCTGGGAAGACACTTGAACAGGTCAGTATAAAAAGTGGAGCTTATTTCTTTACCCTGTTCTATTTTTTCTTTCCTTTTTTTTTTTTAAAAAAAAAAAAAAGCTTTGGAGAGTAACACACTCTTGAAACAGATGTGGTAAAAAATATATTCTGTACTTAAAACATTATCTGGAGTCAGGTATTTGCCTTCAGCAGCAATAAATCTTAAATTATGTATAACCCAGTGGGGTGGGAGGAAGGATATTTTGCCATGAATGTACATCTCTGGTGATGTTAGTTTAGGCTGTAGTCCTGAAAATAGGTTGTAAGTTACAGCCCCTACTTCCTGTATGGTGTTAATAGGCATGCTTTGCAGGATTATGGCTTCCCTTGTCGGAGGGCTTAAAAAAAAAAAAAAAAAAAAAAAAAAAAGCAGTTTTGAGGTATAAGTTAGTAACTTTAATTAAGCTAAGTTCTAAATGTTATGGGAAGCATTTAATCAGAATTGCTTTACATCAAATGTTAGATTAAGTAGCACTTAGCTACCTGCCTACTGTGTAGGTTTGACTGACTTTAACACCTTTTGATGTTCTGACATTGTATGTTCCTTGTTTGCACCGTCAGTGCAAATACAGTAAGGAGGTTATTTTTTGCAATGTTGGCATTTCCTGACAATACGGATCTTTTATCTCTTGTGTGGTTTGATAGGTGCTTGAAGATGTAGATCAGTGTTGTCAGGCTCTCTCCCAGAGATTAGGAACGCAACCATATTTCTTCAATAAGCAGTAAGTTACTCTTTACTGAAATATTACATTCAGGAATGTGAGATAAAGATATACATCCACACACACATATATATATGTATATATGGAAAACTGTTTTATTTTAATGTTACATGGTTAGTTGAGGAAATACAAATGTGTGACTGGAATATAAACATGAAATTTCAGAAATAAGTAATTAAAGGTTTTAAAAGGAAAGTTTCTGTAAGTTTCTGTTGGTTTTTTTTTCTATTTATGATTTAGTTTTACTCCTGCTTGTCTTCTCTACAGAGTCTACCACAACTTACGTAGGCTACAAATGTACACCTTTATACAGTTAGTTTCTTATTAAAAATGATACATGTAAAGCTTTACTTGTATTTCTTGGGTAACATTCTCTACTAGGTACAGGGGAGTGAATGTACATCATGCCCTCCTGACCAGGACAGCGTCTCTTGCCCTTCTTAACACCAGGGGCAGTTCTGAATGAACTGAATTAGCATGAGGGTGCCTGTGAGCTGTAAGAAGTGGGGGAGAAGCTAGCCTCGTATTGACAAAGGATCAGTTGCAAAGTGAAAACTAAGATTCACATTCCCAGGGAAGAAAAAAGGAACAACCTGGCCTTCATTGGATGTCCTCTGCTTTCACCCGTTTCTTCTAATTGCAAAACGCTCCCCTCCCTTCCCCCCCCATTCAATATTTTTAAAATGTTATGAATTTAAATAACATCACATTAGCTTCCTCTTGTCTCCTGGTGCTTGGACCAAACGAGAAATGCTCAGGTCTGGATTTCAGTTAACTACATTTGGACAGGGAGATGTCTTCAAAAGGCAGCATATGGTCTTGGTTACTTCTCCATGTGTGTCTTTGCCCCTTAATCTTTTCCAAGTTGAGACTAGGTGGGTAGTATAAACAGGGTGGATACAGAAACATGCGTTGTAGAAGACAAGTTTGAATTGCATCTTCTCAACTCATTCTTAAACATAGTATCTCCTAAATTTTCCTTCTGTATTTGTAGATAATTGTGGCTTGGGGATTTTGTTTTTGTTGTTTGTTAATCATGCTTTCTTGGTACAGTTTCAACCTTTAAGCTTTTTAGCTGTCTAAAATATTACTAAGAGAGTATGTCTTCTTAGTCCAGTATTTGTCAGTCTGTGACTTCTGGGAGTCTGTAGGAGGTAAATAAGAAAAGCAGCCTGTTGCTGACAGATTTAAGTTTGTTATACAAGGGTCCACATCTCCACTGGGGAGTTCTTAGTGATCCACAAATAGAAAGGCAAAAAAATTATCAGTTAGAAAACCCTCATGCTGCTTACCTTGAACACTAGTAAAGAAGGACTCTTAAGTTATTAATATATTTGAAAAAAAATTTTATTTGCACATGGGCTACTTATATACAAAGGTCCAAGATGACAATTCAGAAGGTTTGTACCTAAAATAAAGTAGGACTGAAAACATTCAATAGACCACTGTTTCCCAAAATACCTGTTTTCTTCTGTGTGCCCTTTCAAAAAAGAGATGTTTCCAGCTGCTGTCACCCTGGAGCTCCTTTTCTTATTGGTTGAATAGTTCCTGGCTATTGAGAAGGACAAAAAGGGAATAGGGGTTTTGTGCCTTTATTTCCCCCCCTCTCTTCTTTTTTTTTCCCCTTTGTGAAATAATAGCTGGGTTGTTTTTTTTTTTTAATATACATATGCAGAGGAAAAAGAAAAACCCCCAAAAGACCTGATAAGCATTTGCCCTTGTTACAGAACTAAAAGATGGAGCATGGTTTGCTATTTGATCAGTAACTCCGTCCCTTCTAAGAAGTGTTATTTCCACATTTCCAAGCTACCAAAAGCAAAGAAAGATGCCATACTGAGAACTAGCAGTATGCTTATATACTGTATACACAGTTTTCATGCATTTGGTTAAGTTCAGTGTTGCTTGATCTCTTCCCGGTTCTTAGATTGCATGGCTATCTGAAAGTTATTCAGAACAGCAGGGTTTTTCTTGATCAGGACTTGCCTTCCAAAATACTTGTTCTTTTTTCTGTTTGTTTTTACAGACCAACTGAATTAGATGCTCTGGTATTTGGACATCTGTTCACAATCCTTACTACTCAACTAACCACTGACGAACTCTCTGAAAAAGTGAAAAACTACAGTAATCTCACAGCCTTTTGTCGGCGAATAGAGCAGCAGTACTTTGAGGGTCATGATAAAGACAGCTCTGCAACTGTTGCAGCCCGATCTGCTAAGAGGTCCTTACTGAGATAAGCACGTTGGTTGGTGGTTGGAGTGGATTGCATTTCAGTTTTGGGTTTTGTCGTTCAGTGAATTGATTTTGATAATGGAAGTGTGTGTTAGCTTTTTGAAGCTGCCAAATCATTCTGGAGCAAGAAAAAACTCTAAATCCAGTTCTTGTGTTGTAGAATATGCTGTACACATTTAACCTGAAATGAGTGTATGGGCACTTCCATTTTAATAGCCTGTATGCCACTTACTCTAAAGTGACCTTGGAAAAACACTGTATCTGTATTAAAAAAAAAATAAAATCCTTTAAAAAGTTTCTCTCTCATCTTTCTAAATGCCTTTCTTACTAAGTTTTATGTCTATGTTATTAATGTCTATGTAATTAATGAATGGGATCTGGTTGGCATCTGGAAGACAGTTGTATGGTAAACTAGTTAGAATTATTAAGCTGGACTCATTAGAGATCTTAAGTTTGCCTGCCTCAGCCAAAATTCATTCAGGAATTGGGTGACAAAAATGTCTTGGAGCTCTGCAGCACACAGGTGATGTGATTTTATTCAGTCAGTTCTTAGTTTGTGTTAAAGTAGCTCCTGGCTGTCATTACTACTACTTATGTGTGCCTGCCTCTGCTTTTATTTCTTGTTCATCTTTGGTTTTTGGCTTTACATTTTTTTTTCTTCCTATGATTTTCTAGTTTTAATCCCCAGCTTGTCTTGCTCTTTGTTTAAGAAACAAATTTGCTAGGTAAGTATCTGTCTCACTGTTTCCACTTCCAGTATGTTAATGTTGCTTCTGAACTTTGACATACTTGCTGGTGCGGTTCTCATAGCAAAGGACTTGGTATGAGCCTGTGGCTGGCATGCCTTGGTCCTTCTGCCTGTAAATTACCCTGTGGTACGTGTAGGCACAGTAACACAGTAGTAAGCAAAGAAGTATCACTGTGGTGCTCCAAAAACGCTGGCAATGTGGAAATTTTCAAGGGAGAGTTCCTGTGTGTAGGTGAGGACTTGATGTGACTAGTATTTCCTCAAATGGATTAAATGGCACCACTCTCTTCTGCTTTGTCACTTGTACTTGGCACTTTTCAAAAGCGCCAACAATCCCAAGAATGTGCTGGTGGCAAAACCAGTCCTCATGCACTTGGGAAGTCCTGGGCACAACTGGGACCCAGTTCAGGCTGTTTGGCCAGTTGGAACCATTGTGTTTTCTTACTATGAAATACATCCTTTTGACTATACTCCTCAGTGTCAAAATACTTAATGGCTTGAACTCGTTATGCAGTGGTCATGAGATTGTTGGCTGCCATTTCCTTCTCTCTTAAAAACTGAGCAGAAAGCAGCTGCGTACCTTGGACTGTCTGGGTGTCTCTTGACGCTGTGGCTCATGAACCACTGCTTACTCATTCCCTGTGGGGGACCACTCTTGTCAGCTTGACTGGAAAATGGAGCTGAATTCTTACTGCCTGCTTTTTGATACAGGAGTCCTGCTGGAGTCAAACTGACGTAAGTATCAATGTGTAAGAGGGTCTTGGCCTTTCATCAAGTCACTCTTGCCAGGAGAGGAAAATTGCCCTTGTCCTGCATTTCAGTCTGAAAATTTCACACGTGTATGTTGAATAACTTTTCAAACTAAAACCTATCAGCTCTTCACTGCTTAGTGACAATTTCTACTGTCAAAGCAGTCGGTAGCTGAGAACCCAGATATTTATTTCTAACCTGCTTTTCTGCATTGATGCAAATTCAGAAAAACTGGAAAAGAATTTGTTATAGAGTTTTCCTTAGTTTGGAGAGAATATTAGGATATACACTACTTTGAGAGAAAAACTCTCTAATAGTCTCTAAAGCCAGCAATGCCATGGTGATGGGGAAATACTGTGTGAAAACTGAAGTATCTTAATCCAGAGCAATTAAACTTGCCTTTTACCTCCTGCTATATACAGAGCGCCATTCATAAGTAAAGATTTTAAACTAGCTTCTGTGGTTTTGGCAGTTCTTCTGCTACCAGTAGACTGAACTACAGGAGTAACTTACTTAATGGATTTCCAAACCCACCTAATGCACAGGCATTAACTTATATGCAATCTAAAAAAATTGCAAGTGGGCATGTATTCCTCCTTTTTAAAGGCTGCAGTGGCCATTAGCCAACTTGTAACCAAATTTCAGCAATTGCTTTGAAACAGCATTGAATTAAACAATGTATTTATATTTTGGCAAGGTTTCTGTGAGGCAGAGCAAGCACTGGTAATACAACACTTTGAATGCTGAGCAGGTAGTTATTGCAAATTTTGTGTGGTAACACATAGCAAGCTTTCTAACTTCAGAGGATTAAAAAAACCCCACTGAGGTAGCCATATGCATTAACCCACTTTGAATGTCTCATCTAGAAAATATACTCAAATGCTGTGGAAGTGGTTCAGCAAAAGATACTGATCTGTTACAAAGTTTGTGTAAATCCACCTGAGCTACTCAGACTGCACTTAAGGATACAGAGACAGGCAAATTACAGGGAGTTTTCAATACTGAATGAGAAGACAAGCAGAGACTGAGGTCTGGAAGCTACACTGAATAGTTTTTGAAAGTTCAACCACCCCTTATTCCTTGTGTGTGACTTGGATAATTTAATTAGTAAAGCAAAATTTAAATGGGAAAAAGCATTCTTTACTTCCTTGACTGAAGAGCCTACTTTCTATGTGGCATGTTTGCCACAGGGCTGGTTTGTAGAATGAGGCTGCACATCAGTCTAGGTGATACCAAAACTTAAAACTACAAGGAAAACCTTGGCTCTGCTACCAACCAGTGTTGAAAATAGCTATTAAAATCCTAGACAAAGGACATACTTTGTGCTTCATAAATACAAGAAGCCATTATGTTTTTTTTAAATGACATTGCTAACATGACTAGTGCTGCAGAGCAGAGTGAGCTGAGCGCCGAGGACCAAAGCTTGTAAGCCATGCTTTAACTCAGGGAAGCTGCAGTCCTATAAAGGACACTGATGCTGACTGCTCCTGAAATGCTGGGTGCAGTTCAAGAAAAAGAATGAAAAGTTGAAACAAGACCAGCAATAAAACCAGTTAAGGGTGGAAAAAACCAAACCCAGTAACCTTTCTAGCAAGGGAGTTGAGCAAGTCAACCAACCTCCATTATCCAAGGCCCAGGAAAGAGGGCTTTCTATTAGTCTGACTGGCCCTCTAGTAGACAAGGTGGTGGTGCACGTGCAGTCTGTGAGAATTTTACTCTTGGCTTGTGTGTTCTGCTACATCTCCCATGACTGAAGTCCAGCTGCTGCACCAGTGGCAGAAATCAGTCCTAGGGTCTGTCTCGTGTAGCAGGACAGTGTGGATAATGGTTTTCTTTCCTAGCTTTTCAAGCTCAGCAATCCCAAGGTCCCAGAAGCTATTTTGGGTGAAGAAAGTAGACAGCTGGAACTTCTGAAGTTTCCCCAAATTAAGACAAAAATTAGATTCCTAACAGAAAGAATGTCAGGAGCAGCTGCACCATGGCTTAACATACATCCTCCGAATATGCCCCACCAGGAACTGCAGGAGTCACTCAACCAAAACAGTACACAAAGTCATAAAAGCACTCATAACTACAAGTGAATAGACATTACTGAGTCTGAACAATGTATAAATCACTTGCCCATGGTAGTTTGCTTCTTAATGTATAAATCACTTGCCCATGGTAGTTTGCTTCTTGCAGTCTTTTTGTTCCACGAATTAATAGCTTCATACGGAGATGATCAAGTTGAGCTAAATGCTAGTCGGAAAATAGCAGATTCTTTCCTTGTCTGATGGAGCTAAAACAATTGAGAAAGTCCTGTTGAAAACGGCACTGCTCCTCCATTCCCGAGATGCTTCTCTGGGGTTGTGGAAGGGACTAATCTTACTCAGCAGACCCTGCTCAGCACAGTTACCTGCTCATGTCTTTGCTAGATTCTGGTATCTACTCCTATCAGAAATGCGCGGTGCCAATTCCAGATGTTGTGAAGGTCTTGTTTGCTTGATCAGCACAGCATCGTATGCATAGCTAAACTGTGAAGCCCAGGTACCCTGCACCGCTGCCTGTACAGCATGGAAAATGGAGCAACCATCCTGCTCCACCACAGGTTGTGGCAAACCAGCTTGTGATTCAAAAGTGGCCAGGATTTCAGCCACAGGTTAATTTATAGTATTGGACCACTGATTCCAGCTGACAGCACTTCCAGAGCCCCTGGTTTTCCTGTCCCTCTCTGAAGAAAGCTTTCCTTGACTGGGGAGTCTCTGATGCTACATTTTATGGTGATGTGATGAGATTTCAAAACAGAGGTTATGTGAAGGAAGGATTTTGCTAGGACCTATCACTCTTCGCATACCAGTTAGTAAAAATTATAGTATTGAATGGTGTTAATGAGAAATTCATCTGCTATTTTCCCTGCCTTTTCTTTTATTTCCCCTCCTCTTTCCCCAAGGAAAGAAAAATAACCTGGCAATCTCCTGCTTCTCAAATGTACTTAAAGCTCAGTGTTGTGGAAAAAAAGAGCCTAGCACAGCCCTGCACATGGAGAATGCTGCTGAGATGCACTTAATGATGCCTCTTAGGATCAGCTGTGCTGCTAGAAAACGCTTCATTTCCTGTGGCTTTCTTTCTTTACAAGCAGAGTGCAGCTCCAATGGCTCTCACAACAATTAGCACCCACTTGTTCTGCAGGTTTGAAGTTTTTTACATTAGTCAGGTTGAGAAATTCATGGTATTAATCATGACTGAAGTTGTTATTTATCACCTGCTGGGTGAGAAATAATAATTTTGGCACTACTGGGGCAGCAGGCCAGAAGTACCAAATTAAGTAAAACATCTAAACACTAGCAAGGATCATTTCTCTGATTAATGAATTGTTACAAAGAAAAAGTGCTACTCGTTATCTGATCTTAGGATAAAAGTAGGAGTTGGAAGTAGAAAGCATTAGCAAAGTCAGGCTATACCCTGATGTAGTTTGAAACTTTCCTGGCTGATCTCTCCTCTGTCATTCACTAACTGCTAACAGGCACTCATCTGCGTCAGAGGTTTGCAATACTTGGCTCACACCCCCAATGCCAGCTTTGTAAAAAAGTAGCATTTGGCAGGGAGCTCGAGGTCCCTGTGTAATGGCCTCGAAAGAAACTTTGAAATAATTTTAACCTTCTAGGGCTTGTCTAGGTTGGAAGGTTTTGCCATAGGAACAGTTACCAGCCTGGCAAAACACCATTGTGTCAAGGCAATAATAGGGGTGCAGGAAACAAGATCAGCGACATCAACAGAATTAACCTTAACCCCAGGCAACTGTATCCATCCTGGGGCCAGAGTCACCT